ATGTTGGCCAGGCTGGTCTCGAACTCCTGACCTCAGGTGATCTGCCTGCCTCAGCCTCCCAAAGTGCTGGGATTACAGGCATGAGCCACTGTGCCCAGCCCTTCAGGACAAGTCTTATTATTACTATTTCATATAAAAGAAAGTTGAGGCTCTCAAAATGTCTAAAAGACTTGCCCCAAAGTTTTACACAGTAGCACATGGCAGTGTTGGGATTAGATCCTATGCCTCTTAATGCTTTTTCCACTGCATAACAGTGGATCACTGAGGAATGAAACTTGAAGTGCCCAAAGATCGAGAGTTACCTTAATTCTCAGCAGAAAAAAAAAAAGACTCAAAGTAATGATGAAGGTTGCCTTCAGAGATGAGAAATGAACACACATAATCACACACACACACACAATTTCATGAGAAAAATGCAAACTGACCGGACTGGATTGCAAATTTAGTTCATCTAAACAATCAAGTTATCTACTAAATAGTCTGAGTTAAGACTTCTGTGATAATATTGCCACCAACTTCATTAAAAACCACAGAGACAAACCTAAACCTGCACACGTACACAACCTGACCTGACATGCCTGGTTGAATTTTATAGACACAATTCTTAAATATCTCCCTGAGTACACTGGCCCCACACTGCAGTGAACAGTCATGAAAAGCTGAATCGTTTTTGCTGATATGAGTACAGATGCGAAGGGGGACCCTGCCTCCCCATTCAAGCGCTCCTCATTCCTCCAGCACACAATGCTGAGGCAATTCCTTTCCCAGGCTTTCTTTTATTTTTAACACTAATACAGTGGGAAAAAGTTTCTGCCACAGCAAGGCAAAGTCCAGGCTTTTGTGAGCATGTCCTTTTCATCCAATGGACATTAATGTATAGATTCCAATGGAATAAATCTGAAATACTCTACTGTAGAAGATTTGTCCCCCATTGAAAACAAATCTTGATTAGATGGTTATTCAGGGAGTGTATAGGAAGGAATGGTGTGAAAATGCTAACTCTATTCTTTCTTAGATTGGCACTGAATAGGCATTTGGGCTATTCAAAAAAAAAAAAAAACACACACACACACACCACCACCCAAACCCCAACCCTATCAACTGTACAAAACCACAAAACTTTACATAGATTATGTGATTATGTGTATTTGGGGATTCTTCCCCACCCGAAATAAAAAATGCACAGTGTTATGAACACAAAACTGATGGCAAAATGAAAAAGTGATAAAAATAGTTCTCTGTTTTAAAATAAGAACTCACCTCCTTTTCACTAGAGTAAAAACATAGAGTCAGCCTGTGATGGCATTCCCTAGAAACACGGAAGGAATTGCAGTAATGAACGTCATCATGTATTCTAAGTGACTGTTCTGCGAGAGCACAACACATACGGGGCTAAAGCAGGGGTGAGTACCGAAGGGAAAATCTGCCTGTGGGGAACTGGGGATAGAGGGCCTGACTCTCTGTTTTGCAGGAACCTTGCTCCTGCCTGTCCCTTAAGCTGCAGGGGTCCAGGGATAGGACTTAGCATGAGAATAAAAAGCTGCCTGCTCACAAGAGAAAATGAGCAAGAAAGGAAACAGCAGGCAATACAATCTCTTTTAATTAGGTGTGAAATCCAGTCCTTTCTCAATCAGGAGAGCAAAAGGATATATAAAATGAGACTAGTGCGAGGGTAAGATGCTACAGAGGGGGATGGGGATTTGAAATCTCCGGACTTGGAAGGAAACACCATCTCTCAAATGAAAACCAATATAAATTTCAGTCCAGTTAATAAGCCTAAGTCAAGTGGCAGGGCCAGAAAGCCTTTGAGCTTTCAATTTGGGGCGCCAGATGAGGTTAGTGGGTCTGCACATGAAACAGGGTGCAGCTTGCCAAGTTAGTCACACTAGGAAAGAGTTAGTCATCTCTGGAGAAAGGGGGGATGTATTTTGGTGACTCCCTTATTCTCCAAACCCCCTGCCTGGGGTAAGACCTCAGTTACATCTACTTTACCTCTTCATATATGCCAAGGGAGTCCTGCTGAATCCCTGCACTAGAGGAGGTATCATAGTTTCTCGCTCACAGGTTCCATCCAGAGCAAATGACTCTGAACCACCCTGCTCTCTCTTTCTAAACCACCCTGC